GTGAACCAAGGTAAAACAGTCTATTGGAAAAAAATCAACACCTAGTGGGCGCTTAGTTATGATTAGGCGCTATGCCACGGCAAAACGTCTCGTCTAGGGCATAAGTAGTAGTCTAGGTTGTGCAAGCAATGAGATGTCTACTCGAATGAAAAATCCTATCATGTTGTGTTCACGGGCCAAATGTGCCATATTCCAATGGCGGTAGCTAATAATTTTTTCATTTACATGTTATGTAATTCATGTATATGCACATAAAATACCCAGAGCCCTTGATAGTCAAAACTACAATACTGCCCAGACCACGCTTATGGTAATTTATTGTCGCCTAGGCGCCAGGCGATGGTCCACTATCTCGCTTACGCCTAGCGTATTTTTTCGACCTTCTAAAACTCATGCCCCATGTCCATCTGGTAAACTAATATTATGTCCCATTGTCATACAAATAATGTGTGGTTCCTGCATTGTTGCTAGGTACTTGATGAAGCATATCTCGGCACCCTTTGTGGTACTATCAAGGAGGAAGGTGTGTCATGAGAATATGTTTTACTTAAACTTTTTATATGGTCATTGAGGGTAAACCTAAGAAATGGTTCGATGAACTGCCACATCATTAAGTCACCACCTGGGATGAGTGCAGCAATAAACTCATGCATAAATTCTTTCCCAAATAAAAAATAGCAGGACTTCACAAAGAAATGGCGCACTTCCAACAAAAGATAGGATAAAGCTTCTCACAAGATCGGGGGAGATTTTGAAAACTTTGCACCAATACCCTAATGATGGCTTTACCAATCATTTTATAATTCATATATTTTACCATGGACTTGCTGACGAATTAAAATGTATACTTGATTGTTATGCAGGAGGAATATTTATGTCTTTTACTATGGTATAATGAAGAAATTTAACCATCAGCCGGAGGAAAGATTTACTATAGTAAACACATTGAGGGTTTCAAGGACGCAATGAGCAGTGAATGTAAAAATGTGCAAACTCAATATTTTTTTAGAAAAGGAGGATTAACACCGGCCTCTGCATCTGGGCGATGCATACGGCCACTTTATTAATTATTCTCATAAGACCTTACAAAGTCATACAAAAGCAAGACTAAAGCCACCGTCTAAGCAACAACTGTCGCTACACCTATCCAATTGATGAAGGGACGCAGATAGTCTGGGCCTAATACCAAAGAGACATCATAGCCAAACCTAACCATCTAAGACCTGAGGTTCCAACCAGGACGCCTGTCGGGTATGGGGCACCTACCAGTCCGACGCACTCCTCAACCAGGACACCTGCCTAGTATGAGGCCGCCGCAGCCACCTGCCACCAATCCATCTTCACAATTGTACTGTTGCATGTACCATGCCAGGGCTCTCTGCCATCAATGCCACCACGACGCCCGACAGCGTCATCCTCCTGCGCGAGTCCATCCTTCCACAGCGAACTCCGAATCTGCATTGCGCCACGCCGTCAAGATCCGTCGCCATCAGTGTTTAGGATGAAGCACCGCCCCACCAAAGAATCCGTCCTCTGGTCCCTCGATCACGTGTGTACCTCCAAAAATGATGCCCCCAAGGGAGGAATGACACCAGAGTGCCGCCGTCATCCAATCATCCGATCTAGGGTTTTCCCCGGAGGTAGCAGAGAGTGGCCTGAAACTTCTCCGCGGTGATGCCTTCAAGAAGGGAACGACGCAGATAGCGCCGCCACCGCCGGCCTTAGCAGAAGCCGAAGGCAAGTTTTCATCCATATCAGTTCGAAGGGATCCAACTCTCGTGCAAGGGCTGCCGTCACTACCAGCACCACCAGGCAGACCCTGGAATACCGGCAGATCAGTGAGCCGCCGGCACGACCGCATCCAGATCGCCGGCCACGCCGGGCCACCGCCATTCCCCACGCCGTCCAGGTCAGAGACGGAGCCGCCGACCGCGCACAGGGACCGCCATCGCCTGCACACGCTGGAGCGCCGCCGAGAGCCCAGCGCCCGCCACCGCTTGCCGAAGCCAACCTCCGCCCGAGCACTGGTGCCACCGTAGAGCCATCAGATCGGGGAGGAAGACGTCGCGCGCCGATCACCCTCGCGGACCCCGCCGCACGCCCGAGCGTCGGCGCCACCACGGCGCCATCAGATCGGGAGGAGGAGGTGCACGCGCCTCGCCGCCTCGCGCAGACCACGTCGCCGGCAGTGCCGCGCAGGGGAGCCCCGCCTAGATCCGCCGGCGGCCCGACCTGCCGCCGAGCCGAGCGCCGCCGCGAGGGCCGGCCGTCCCGCGCCGCCCAGGAGAACCTCGCGAGAAGGGAGGGAGCCTGCCGCCACCGACGCACGCGCGGGCTTTGCCCGGTGGCGTCCCCTGGCAGCGGCGAAGGAGAAGGAAGGCGAGAAAGGGGAGCAGCGGCGGTGAGGTTCCGCCCGGGCCGCTCGCGGGAGCCTGCAAACTCAATATGCTGAACCAGGAGACATAGATCTCTTCAATATCTATGAACGGAGAGATGAACTGTATGAAACACTGCAAAGCTTCAAGGGATATCAAGAGGAAGTCAACAGAGAGCTCCGCAGGTGTCCTTGTTGCAAGCTCCGCGCCAGTGAATCAGCTCAATGCGGTTCACAAAGAACCACCATACAACTACAAAATGGACATGCAGGTACGAAGAACCTGCTGACTGGGCAGAATTTTTAATTTGTTCCAAAGTAAAATCCGTAAATATGTTAGATGGTCGAAAGTCCTGTTCTGATCCTGAGCTCAACCATCTATATTTAAGATGACTGAGATTTTTCGTATGTCTTGGTCGTTCAAGAGAAGTGCAGCTGTAGTTTGGTGTGAGGTGCAACTTGCACTTCTCACATGGTTGTTTCTCAACTGATATCGCACTTTTCAAAAGAAAAAAAACATGAGAAAATCTTAGACAACTTAATAGTATTAACAAAGGTGTGGCTAGGTCTCTCAGTCAAGTGACATAGTATGCAAGAGAGGAAAAGAAAAGACTAAAAATATTAACACGGATCTCAATGTAGAATTAACGGATATAGCATCGACTGGGATTTAACGGAGTCTCAGTCGACCGAGACTTAGCAAAACAAATCCAACTTAGACTGTCTAATAGACATATACCCCTCCTCCCACACGTTCTCAAGAATATTAGCCGCTTTAGCATGTTATTTTCTGGTTTGTAGGCACTTTGCCTCAAGATCACTAGAGACATGTTATGGAATAGCTAGAGCACAGGCACAAATATGGTGATCATTTGAGGTCATGATTTAAATATTTGTGACCACGGCTAAATGACCAATTGTAGTACGTTAGTAGCATAGCAAGGATGATGGATGATGCACAGAGAGCTATGGGAACCAGATGCATGGGTCAGTGGCCTACTAGAACTGTAGGACATGGTTGCACTTGCATTGCACACATACCCAAACATACCATACCATATCTTATCTTCCTTGATGATGAGCAGTCGTAGCAGCACATTAAATATGACAGTGGTAGTATATTTGTATAAGGTTGGGTTTGGCCAAATGCAATAAGGAGACGAACTACTGTACTGGTATTGCATCCCTAGGAGAATGTTTTTGTGGGCTCCAAAGAATTGGAGCACTTGTTTTATATAGTAAAAATGGTACTCCTAGAATTCAAGGAAAACAAAAGATTAGAAAAGAGGCCAGGTACTCTGGGCAGGATGCAAGGGGCGTGCAAGATGGTGATGAGGATAGGATATGGTACCTACTGGCTTAGAAAAATGACATGGTCTCATGGATCGTACAAACGAGCACGCCATGCACTCACAAATGGTCTAGCATATGATAATGTCTCGTGTGTGTGTGTGTCTAGAGAGAGAGAGAGA